CAACGAGGTGTGGAATAGCTGCACTATAGATGGAAAAGAGTGTTGGTACAATCACACATCCTTGCTTGAATCCAGTTCTAATAGTGAAGAGTCCTATTTCTGTGCCATTGCTTAAGACAGTTGTGATCATGTTGTCATGAAGGATTCTGATAATGGTAACAAATTTTGGTGGGCATCCAAAATCACATCAGAATATTACACAGGGCCTCTCTGATTGAAGTAAAGGTCATAGGTCAATGAAGGCCATGCAAGACCTTGGTGATGCTCGCAGCACTTCTGCAGCTGTCTAGCAACAAAAATCATATCTACTGTATCTTAGTGGTCTGAAACCACATTGCGAATTGGGTAGAAAACAGCTCTCAAAATAGCTGACCACTACCATGTTTACCAAGCAGAACATAGGCTATGATTAGATTTTAGTCAGAGGCCTTACTGGGTGCATCCCCACATGCAGGGGCATGTGCAGGGGCAATTTTGTGCCAAAACTTTTTGCTGCTGTGCATGCCCCTGCACGTGTGCTTGGGTGCAGGGCAAAATGCCCCATTTGAGGCAAACTGTCTTTGCCCCACTTCTCCCAGCTCCTAGTGTGCTGGAGGAGCCAAAGTGAAACTGAAGGAGGGGAGAAAAAGCCTCCACACTCACCAGCACACGCTCCTGTGGCATGCACCATGCCCCCCCCCTTATTTTTTGGGGGGCAGGGGGGAGGAGGGGGTTTGCTACCGGAATTTTCCAGTAGCAAATTTTGCCTATGCTGCAAATCTGTAGTGTGGGGCACATGCATCGCCAATGACGGTTTGTAATATTTTCAGCACTACTTCACAGCAAGCAATTTTTTTTTCATCTTGGACACCTGGGCTAGGGACAGAAATTATACATAACCCAGCATAAGTGATCAGAAATGGGTTCAAATCTGTAACACCACAGAAGTTCAGTGCACATAAACCACTTTCAAAATGACAGAAACTAGTTTAAGATAAACCTGGATGGATGTAGTATCAGACTTACCTGATTAAGGTTAAATTAGTTTATTGAACTTCTGTCCCAAATCCCCTCCAAATTCAAATTGACTCAGTCTCCTAGCATCTCAGGTTGCTTTGCTCCCCCTGTTCCCCCTTGTAAGGTGAGCCAAGCTGTCTGCTCCAACTGAACGGGGAGGTGTGCTCTAGCACTCCTCAGCTTCTGGCCTGGGCCACTGCAAGCATGTGGCTGCATTTCTGGAATCAAAGGCAGCTGTCTGCTCACTTGTTTACTGGTTCAATCTACACAGCTTAGACTAACTCAGGAAGCCTGAATTGATTCAGCCTTGGGCTTTTTGACTATTTGTACCTAGCCCTGGTCATGCAAAACAGGAGTCTCTGACATCTACTTAAATCAAATCCTGGCTCTTAAATCCAAAATTGTGAGTCCAATTCTGTCATCAAAGCCATTCCTCAGGGAACAGGGATGCAGCACAGTGGCTTTATACCACAGTTTTTATGCCTCTCCTTCATACCATAGCTGGACAGGCTGTTGCTATAAGCCAAAGTTACCTCAGTTTAGATACTTTATCTCCAGCTAAACAGGGCCTTTTCTAGCAACCAGGAATTGATGAGACATGGAAAATGCTCCAAGGCTGGGGGTTAAGGTAGGACCAATAAAAGACTGCAGCTCTACTTTCCCTGTGAATTCTCCTGCAACGCTGGTCTCCTGTGTTGGCCACTTAAGTCAACACTGCACCTGCTTTGCATCACCAGTCATAACGTAGTTACAAACAGGACAAAGGTTGGTCTGATTCATGGCGTGAGATCTTTTCTACCTTTACTAAGACTTTGATGCTGGAAAAGAACATGTATTGTGTTCACTCTGTGGGCCTGGAAAGGCAAGTAAATATTAAGGAGGGAAATAAAATATATGGGTCCACATGGTGCATCTAAAAGGAAGAAGGGAAAAGAATAATATCTCAGGTTTCCCCGAGATAAATGTTAGGTCAGCACAGAGAGAGCTGAGCCAGGATACAACAGCTTACGCTGTTCACTATGCAGCACAGAAACATGATTACCAGGCACCTGAACCTAACCAGAGCATAGCAGGGCCTCAACATCAACTAGGAAACACAGAAAGCTGATGCTTCAGGTGCTGCCCTACCTGATTTTACCCATTTGGGACCTCAAGGAGAGACTGGAGGAAAAAAACCCATGATTTGAACATCGCTAAAGGGATGCATTTTTAAGAGTTTCAAACTGACAGCACTAAAAACTAGAGTGTTGCGGTTACACCACCACAGACAGGTTCAGCCCGTGTAGCTGTGGTGCGCAGCTCTGGTCCTGGAAGGACCACTTCAAGAGGTAGTTGAGTTTGAGCTCTGGCTACTCTGGTATGGGTGGCGGCTTGGGTCAGTGCCATAGTATTTCAAATGATTTTTTTTATCTGTCTACCAGAAAGTGGCCTAAAATAAAACTCAAGGCAAAGGTACATGGCTTTTGGGGAATGAGCTAGACTTCACTAGAGGTGAAACACTATCCTTTCAAGTCAGAAGGTACAATAGTAGCACGCACCCCAGTACAATGAAGTACCCTTGCACTGTATACACACAATCCATTTTCCTCTCTTCAGCCTTTGTGCTTTCAATCACTTTTGCACATCATAATCCACACACTCACTGATGAAAGTTTATATCCCAAATAAGAAGTCATCTCTATCTGTCTCACCCTATGCTGGTGGAGGTCAATGATGTTAAAATGGTCCACACAAGACTGAGTTAAAGTTCTTGAACCAGATGCAGTGAGACAGGCAGAATGGTAACAGAAAATAATCCCTTTGGACAGAACCACTTCAAATCAGCAAAGAACTGACATTTTTTCAGCACTAGTTATAGTACAGCTCCGTCTCCAGTGACACTGGCCACAAGCACTACACAAGTTTATACATTATTAACAAGGTATTAACTGGTCAGGGAACGGACACTAACTGCAACACTAGCTAGAAGTGCCTGACTACAGCAGTCAGCCAAGGGCAATCACAGCAGATGTCTGTTAGCCCACAGGAAGCATCAAAGTTCACTGCTTTCACGCCAACATTAGATGGCAGCAGATAGCTGTAAACTGATTGAGGGCAGAGCTACAGGGAGGGGGAGCTGCGATGAAGCTGCTGAACTACACTGACTCTTTTCTGTTTCCCTCTGCCGTACTCATCTGGAGCATGCACCAGTACAAGTGACCCAATCTTTATTTCAGAATTCAAGGCAGTAAAAATGGGAGCCCCTGAGACTTCCTGCAGCAATGCCTAAAAACTACGTGCAGAATCTCATGTACTCTAAGCAGGCTACATTATCTGCCAGGATTTCTAACGAGCTCAAAACACTAGTGGTTCAGAAATACAGCCAGAATTACAAAGTATTATGCAGCTGTTGACACCACATCTTGCACTAATTAGCAGTTTGTGACACTCCCAATTTAGCTTTTTTTTATAGCAACTGCTGTATTTTAAATACTGATCAAACTTGCAGCTAGCACAGCAGATTGAACTCATCTGGAACGTTCATTATTATTTAGACCACTTGTGATTAAAACCACGGAACACAGCTCTCTTGCTGCCAAATTTCTGGGCCTGTGGGACAGTATGGGCCACGTGACAACTCAAGGGGTCAGTTCTGGCCCATGGGCTAGGGTTTGAGCACCCCCTCTCTCAGCAAATACTGGACTGTATCCTACTGTCATAAATTGTAATATCACACTTCTGACATCTCATGAAGTAGGGTGATGCCTGCAAAAAACTTATGCCTCTCTGACCCACTTAATCTGTAAGGCAGGGGTGGATTAAGATTCACTGGGGCCCGGGGCCCCCTCCCATGGCCCGCAGCTCCCCGTAACCCATGCCCTGCCCTGCCCTGCTGCCACGGACTCCATCCCTGGCTGATGCAGCTGAAGCAGCAGCCAGAGTGGGTTGCTCCGCCGCCCCGGCCCAGGGCAGGAGTGGCAGCTGCTCCTGCCCACAGGTCCACACTGGAGATGGCACCAGGGGTGTAGAGCTGCTGCCTGCAGGGCACATGTGGTGCAAACCAAGCTCCGGGGGCGGCCGCTTGCCCCACCGTGGCTCAGTCGGATGCAGTGGTGCCCGGCAAACGAGAGCCCAGCAACCACGGCCCGCCATGTTGCATGGGCCCAGCCTGGCCGCTGGTTTCATCCACGGCGAGGCAGGGGCCTAGCTGGCCCATGCATTAATCTGCCTACACTCTAATATTTTTTCTCTCTGGGAGTTATCAGCAGAGACTGAATCTGAGGCCTCTGGGATTTAATATGAGGTTCTACTGTCTGAGTTAATCTATTGCTAGGTTAGAAGCAGGTCCCTAAATAGAGTGGAACAGCACCATATTCATGGTTGTGTGTTATATAACCTTCTCAGCACATTAATGGAAAGAGCTACATCAGAAACAACCAGTGGATTTTTTTATGGCAGGATTCTCGGACACAGTGAGCCACTATCTACCTTAATCATGGAAATAAAAGGTAAAGAATCCGATTAGAAAAGATAATGAGCAAGCTATCCCTGAGTCACTAATACCCAGCACTAGATTTCATTAGAGCTATGAAATTAAAGAACACCCTCTACACTCTCAGATTCACATTCACCTAGAAAGCTACTACAAGCAGACCCTTCCCTCTCATTTTGCACTTACACAGAGACATCTGAAGGACAAAAAGGACACACAAATGCACGCAACTGACTGACAAGGTATGGCGAGGACGATGGTTAAGAGGAGAACATATGTTGTTATTGTGGCGTCATTATTTCTTTAGGGCAGAAACTAGCTTTTTGTTCTGTTTGTACAGAAAACCTAACACAGCTTGCGTCTAATACAAGATGGCCTCATCCATGACTGCACCTCCTTGGTTCTACCGCAACACCGACAGGACAATAATGTGTACACCTTATAAAGGAAAAGCTGATACCCACAACAGAACACACTGTATTTATTATTTAAAATTAATTTTGCATATATTAAAGACTAATTGCTAACCTACCTCCTTTCCGCAGAAGATAGATGGGCACAACATAAAGCATCACATGCTGGATGTAATAAATCTCCATCTCAAATGGAAGCTGAGGAAAAAAGGAAAACATTCATAAATATTTGCTGTTGTTCACAACTGATTTACAAAGCACCTTTTGCTAACATTAAGCATGCCGCAAACTATCTACATACAGCATAAGGGTTTACATTTCTTCAGGTCCAACCAAAATGCAGCCACTTGCAGGGTAGAAAGCAAAAGCAGCACTACATAACAGGTTCACTTCTGCAGGGAAGAATGGCTGTATACAATTCCACCCAGAAAAGTTTAGAAGAGAATGTGCAACTACCCATGTCAGAATAAGGACAGAAAACCAGGGCCTGTAGCCCTGTTCTGATAAGTGCTACAAATGTTCTGTGGCATAATCTTGCCATTAACCACCATCGTGCCACTCTACACAGGCTGCCTCCTTAATTAGAAACAGTGCAGCTACCTCCACATGATGGTTGGAGTGGACTAATGAACCTTGCTGAGAGCTAATGCCAATTAGCCTGCCCAGGCGGACACTGTTCCTGGCTCAGGAAGCAGGCTGCCAGACAGCACTACCAGAAATGGTAAGTTTACCATCCAGACACTGTCTACAAGTACCATGGGCATTTGTCCCTACGTAGCCTTGGAAACCGATACAGCCACCACTATTTCCTTACATCTCATTTGAAAGGCTTGGTACCTGTGATCCCAGACTGGTGTAATGATTCAACAATGCTTGTTTCACCCAGAAAATTGTCCCATGGTGGCACTAGAAAGGTATCCTATCTGTCCTTAACTGTTATGTAGTACTGTTAGCAATTCAACTGGAATTCAACCTACTGCCTCTTCTTCAGTGTCAAAAGCCACATTATAATTCCTTAGAATGTAATTTATTTTCAAGCTTTTTATGCTAATCAGGGGGTACCAAATGTACTATCCCTTGCTACTGACAGTCTGAATTTCTCAAGTACTAGAAACAAAATAGAGGAGAAGTTCCAGAGGAAAAAATTGCAAAGATGGCAGGCAGCCAGACAGAAAAGCAAAAAAATTAACCACCTGAGCCCATTCTCTGTTCTCCCCCAGTAACTTGCTGCTAACCTAATTACCAGCAGCATAAAGCAAAAACAAAAACAGAAAACAAGCAGGAAGAAACATAAAAGATGGCAAAGCACATACAAAGAATTCTACATAAACCACCTAGTTGCGCAAAAGTAAAAAGGTCCACTTTCTAAACAATACATTTCCAAATGCATAGAAAAAATAAGAAATAACCATACCCATTTATACATTTTACATAACAGTCTTCAAGCCAGCAGAGATTAATGCAAATTACAGCAATCCATACACAAATATTTTAAACTACCACAATTCCCTTAAGCCAGCGAAAATCAATACAGAGAAAAAAAGTCTGAATCTTAAAGCTGTGTAACAGTCACGGAAAGGAGATTCTTAATCAAAGTGAATCGGACATGGTGAGGTGGATTGCCAATAATAGTTTCATAGTTTCATTCAAGAGAATATGTAACAATATACCATTTTGTGTGGTTAGCTGAACTCATTTTTCCTCTTAGGGGAGAAAATACACAGAACTACTTAGCTAGAAATATTTTGAGGCATAACTAGTGATACATATTTCAAGGCTGAATTCAAGTCCTTTGACACTGGGCTAAATCAGCACAGTCCAGTTCCAGTCAGGCGTTACTGTATTTTGTTAAAAGACAAAACATTGTACTGGGAAAAGCTTGATGCAATACATTTTCTAAAAATCACCTGTCCAGGATGTTTTTCTGTTTCTTTATCTGTACTTTAAATTTCTATAAAATGGATTCAGATGAGAGCTTCAAAGATTCAAAATTTTAAGAAATGACAGGTAAAATGTAGGTTCAAAATTCAAACCTGGTCCCATGATTATGTGTGTGGTTCACTTCTAAAAAGCAGAAAGACAGACTTATGTCCCTAATATAATTCAGATGTTCAAACCATCATTTTACCATCTTTTTAGACTGAAATCTCAAAGAATAATAATACACTAAAGTTCATATAATTCAACCCAACCCAAAACCAAACCATTAGCCCCAGGACAAACAGACCCACACTACAGTCAGATGCTAATAATGTTCCAAAACAGCACTGCCTGGTCCATCTTTTGTACTGATGCTTCAGAGATGCGCATCTCCCTCCCACATCTTCCCTTCCATGTTGTGGAACTGGATCAATATAATGCTGAACTGATAATGCTGCAGGTCATCATGGTCAATGTTTTAAATGTCAATGTTTTAATCAGATAACAGGGGCCAATGTTTTAAACATATGAATCTATAGTTCCAACAGAGAGACAAGCAAAAAGGAGAGGCTGAGCATGAAGCTCTCCATGTTCCAAAAGAGCTGGTAGCAGCCATCGCAGCAGAAAGACAATATAGGATTCTATTAACAGAAAAAGTGTTTTTCTTCTTTTAGCCTTCCTCTAGTATAAAAAAAATAAAAAATATATAATATTTAGACTCTGCTAGCCTTGGCTGCCACTGACTGATCATGTTAAACAGTGGAGCAACCTGGTTCCAAACTCCATGATATTCAGACAACCATTGTGGAAGAAAAGTTTGAAAGGCTTATAGGGAATATTTGCCCAAACAGTCTACAACAAAAACATAAAATGATTAAGCAATAGCATGCAAAAGCAAGAAGTTCCTTGCAATCTCTGAATTTTTTTGTTTCAACTTTTTCAGTAACTCACAAGAAAGAAAGAAGCTGAGGGCACAAATGAGAGAATGAGAAACAAACCAACTTGAAAAGGGCTTAAATTGGCTTCAGCAAGTAGAAGATGATTTGTAATACTGTACTACTGTAAAGTTCATGTTACGGAAACAATAGCTCCAGATCTAAACAATGCAACACACTGCATTCATGCCTGGCAAGGAGCCGCCTCTATCTGCCATCTGCGATTTCATAAGGGCTTCTGCACTAGATCAGTCAACACGAGGGTCGGTTACACAAACATTTTACTGGGGACACTTTTGAGAACAGCCCAACCCTTGTTTTGTTGCAACAGCGCTGACAGCATTTACTGTGTAAAACAAACATTTTCATGCTATGAAAGATTGATTGTTCTGTGGCCTGGCTAATTATGCAAGTACATTTCCTGGTAAGATACAGACAACACTAGCTTCCTTTTTACATAACGAGGCACTTAAAGCTATACAGTCAGGTTACAAGAAAAAAAGAGCACACAAAGAAGATGGACTGTATGGCCACACAGAATCCTGCCTCACCCAGTGCTAGGATCTGATAAATATTTGTGCCATGGAGTGGAGTGATAATCAGGGATTCGGGTTTTCTCTGATTTAAAAAAATCCCATCTTAGGTTTAAAAAGATGCAACCCCAAATCCATATTTTTCCATGATTAAAGTGAAACAGAAAAACAGAGGGACAGAGGGAGAGGGATGTTTCATTTTAAACACAGAAAAATGTGGATTTGGGGTTACGTCCTTTTAACTGAAAATTGGGGTATTTTTTTTAAAGCAGAGAAAACCAAGATCCCTGGTGATAATACACATGAGCAACCATTTATGTAACAAGAGCTAAGATGGTAAAAAATGGCCAAGTGCCTCCCAAATAAGGACAGTGAAAAAAGGGACCAGTCCAGGATTTAAGGGATTCTGTGTACTTCTAACTAGCAAATAATTTAACATGCAAGAGTTTTAGAAATCTAAAATGGAAGGCAGCACTGTGCAAGCGTTTTAGCTCCAGCATGAGGCAACACTGCTAACTGAATACTGGCCCTGAAATGCATGAGTTAACAAAAGTACACTCCTGAAACATCCAAGTACACCTCTGAAACATGGAAGATGCTGAATTTTAGCCGATTTTGGATTTTAAACTTTACTGCAGAACAACAAGGAAGATTTTTTACCTCCCTGCCAGCCACCTGACACCTCCAGGAAGGAATTCTACCTGATCAACACATCAAAGAGCTACTCAACACAGGCCACAAAGACACTCCCATGGACCCAAAGGGACAGCCTTCCATCTTCAGCTCCCTCTGTGCAAAAATGAAGTTTATTTCCTACCTATGGGGACTTTGTACCATCTTGTACCATCTACACTTTCCCAGAGCCTGACGAAGGGACTTTGATCCTGAAAGCTTGCAGAAAAGGACAATTTTCTTGCCATTTTCCAGTTGATCTAATAAAAGGTTTCATTTTGGAACCAAGAGTTCTAGTTTTTTTGTATGAGTTAACAAAAGGCACAGAAGGCAGATGGCAGGAATAGCAAAAAGGCCCATGGTCTCAAACCTCAGATTCCTACAAGAGAAAGGACATTGCTCAAGGGCCCCAGGGGTGTCCTTCTCCCCAGCCAAATCCACTGGGTGAAGCAAAGCAGGACTTTCCAAGGGTGGCAGTAGCCTTAGAAGCAAAAACGTCTCAAACTATACATTCTGATTGTTTATCACCACCAGCCCCGCAACCCAGCAATATTCCCGACCTACTGATTGGCTGCCTCCCCTTTCCCTTTCAGGCTACCTGAACCACTGTCCCTGATACTCATAGGTGATACCAGGCTAGCCCTGTTTCCTGGCAGTAAGGTCAGAAACTACAGAAACCCAACTGTTACAACAGAACTGGGCAAGACATCAGACAGTATGCTCCAGTGATTTTCAAACTGCATTGCACAACACCCTGGGGTTCCACGACAGGTCATCAGGGCTTCTGCAAAGAGACTGGGGGTAATGGCAGAGCAGGAGGCTGGGATGCAGTGCCCCGCCACTACCAGGCCAGATCGCTTGGCTCCATGTCAGCTTACAGGGCCCACAGCGCCACAGGCAGGGGTTCTGCAGCAGCAGAAGCAACATGAAAGGTTCTGGGGCTTTAGGAAATTACACAACCACTGGTATCCTATACAGTGCTGTCCTGCAGTGGGGGAAGGGACTGCAGGACTGAATAGATCTTTGCCACCTATTTCTATGGTTCTGCATAAATCACTATTGCCTGGCATTTGCCACTTTCAGTGTCCTTTTAGTATCAGGGTCAATGCCATTTCTGAATTAGGCCAGAACATGCAAG